TCAGGTATTGACCTATTCTGACCTTTAAGAAGTCCATGGAAAATGTATAGCGTGGTTTCTGTTATCAATAAATTCGAAATGAATGCCAGCAAACTACGACCTACAGGAAGCCCTAGAGTAATACAGCAAGTTGGTTTTCATCTAGGTCTGACCTTCATGCCTGACCCTAGGTCAATGGACTGCTTGAGAAACTATATCAGAGATATATGGCTTCGTCTATCATTATGTCGTTGCATCAGATTGAACGTCTCTCTAGGAATCGTCTTCGCTGAATCTATGGCCTGACTTGGACGTGCCACAGGTCAGCCACCTTACAAGGTACGCCTACATTTTTCATGTCAAACGATCGGCTTTTCAGTTATCTACAGCACTGCCGCGCCGTTCGGAAACCATTCAGGAGGAACCTTTGGGAGGGGAGGGGGGCTGGGGTCAAATTGACCCTCACCCTACCGCGTGTCAATAAATGTAACAGTTTATCTCACCACTTCATCAGCGGCTATAACAGCATTATATTTTCCGTTAAGCCACTGTGCTGCGTTTTGCCATTATGGCGTTGGTGAATGAAATATCTGCCTTTACAACAGTTTCGACCGTTCCTGTATCACGCAATGTGGCTTTCAAGTCAGTAGTCCGCATTGGACGAGTTGGATTTAGGACCCGTAGCTCCCTCTGCGCTGGCAGCTCCGGAAGCATGACCTGCCCCCCCCCCCCCATACTCGTTTGCTGCTAGGTGATCATCGCTGCACACTAACTTATGCGCTTATTTTGTGTTGGACCACGAAGGCGTCTCTTAGAAAAAGACCAGTTATTTCTATACGGGTAGTGTTTTAAATGGAGCGTTCGACATTTAAATGGAGTTTTGAACTGAAATATCCATATTAAAGATTATTCATTGCAGTTCACAGCCCTGTCCTTCTTAATACCCCAAATCGTCTAGTTTCTGAGCTAAACGCCCGCAAGGATGAGCAAACTTTTTTGTGAAGGGTGCTTCAAGGTTGCCCAGACATCCATAACGCCGTAATAACGCCATTCAAACCCCTCCCCATCCCACCGGCCACGCGTCGTTTAGGTCAATACAAATATAATTGTCGAGTCGTTAATATCTGGCATTCGTGAGCACGATTCCGGATACAGCTATCGTCAATTGCCTCTTAATCAATCTTGTGCTAGCTAGGCAAAGTTTTAACGCAAGTGGTTATTTGGATGAGAGACCTTTCGACCAGTAATGACCATTGCAGGGCTATAGAATGAAGGAGACTGGAGAACGTTGAGACGGGGCTACACTGGCCACGGGGACCAACCGCTGAGCTTTAGCCTGCAAGTACCACATGAAATGTTAGTTTCCCACACGAATTACTTTTTGTGCTGCATGACCCAATAGCTTCTATATTCTTCCCGGTTATTACAGACTTAATACTTGTAAATGAATCTGATATCGCCATAACCGAGTTTGTGAATACGAGGAGGTACCTCAAACACGCGAATAACTGTGTACGTACATCGCGCGAAAAGGCCAAAACACCAGTACCCAACGACATTTGGTTCAGCCCACATTAACAGCGCCGCGCATTGACCTGGGTCGCTGGCACCGCGTGCCATCTCTCAGATTGAAGGGCCACAGATGTGTGCTGTTATACAAGCATTCCATGACTCGGTCACTCAGTGGCGTATTGATGAGTGTATTCGCCAGATATAAAGATTGTGTTCCTTAGAGCAGTCTTCACTACTTAGAAGCATGTCAACAGTTAAAAATGGGCTTATTTTCATCATTTCTGACGCGTGGCTCATAGCTTCCGGTGCGGATCATTTCAAGATATTGAACCAATTGTATCTGCCAGTATCTCCCTCCGGTATCTCCTATGCGTCACGTTTGTCTGCACTGCTTGCTGCGATTTCTCCGCTTGGTTTCGACCATTGCGTTCGACGACATCGTCAGCTAAGTTTTGCGACTTACGAGAGGGATCGCAAGACCTCCCTCAGATTGATGCTGTTCTCGAGATTTACAATAACACACAGTGAATATTTTAGAGCGGAGAATCTGCCAACAGAATTTGTACAGATACGGACGCACATACGTGCATAAGGTGAAGTTTGGGACATGCTTCGGAGTGGGGATTGTTGCACTGGACTGTGTCTGCGACGTTTTTCACAGTGCCTTTCATGCATCTTATGACTCTTGGGAATGCTCACACTTTTTAATTGTTATGATTTGCAAGGTTGAACAGGGTATTTCCATCTGGATAGCTAACAGCCTGCACAATATGTGGGGAGATTACATAGGTTAGGATATTGGAAAGATGAGCTTACAGCAGATTAGTTGATGGTGCAGATGCTTGTAACTGCCTTCAAATGATGCACAAGGTCTCATGGTTAGGTTACACATTGTGGGGTTGATGCCAATGTCATCAACTAGGGAAACTGGAATGTTGGTTATGCTAAATAGTTAGTAGTTGGTCAGCTCTGTTTTGAAGGTTTGTATTTCCAATAATATCATGTTCCAGATTATTACTTTTCATCAAAGTTAGGTTTCTCATCACCTCAACATCACTGTTTATCTGGTTTTCCTTGTGTAGTAACCAATTCACCCACTAGTATAATGCATACCTCATTTAACCTGCCCATTATAGCTACCTGTATCTTGTGGGAAGTAAATAATATGTACAACCTTATTTGAGCTGTAATTTGTGGCGTTGAGTGTGCTGTGGGTCATCTAATGCTGAAAGCTGTTTGTGATTTACTTAATACTAAATGTGTTATCCCATAGTTTTTCTATTCATAAAATATGTATTGAGATACTTTTTCTTATTATGATTTTTTTCTCCTTTTTGTTGCTGTATTTGCTTATTGTAATTCAGTAATGTTTTCTGACATACTATGTGGTGAAACTGTTCACAAAGGTTTATGTGATGGTGCTGAACACCATGAAATTGAGAAAAATGTGCTGATTAAGCCTTCTCAGGGCCTTAATTAGTTCCCACTGCCAGTATGCATAACCCAACATCCATTGGCAGCTGGCAAGGGTATTAGACCATAAGCATAACTGCATGCAAATGACAGGGAGGAAAAGAAGGCAAGCACATCATTTAGAGCCTCTTTTATGTGTGCTTCTGTTTGGGATGTTCCATGGATGGCTTTCCCCTGCAAATTATGCCAAGTAGTCACATTTTTTTCAGTGGTAGATGCTATCTCATACAATGTGAAAACCATTTTGGTGTCAAGTTACACAAATATGCTAGAATGGTGTGGATTGTGCTAATGCTGGTGCTTTAGGCATAGCAAAATTATGAAGCATCCAATTATCACTTATGGCTTCCATGTGAGGGATGGGGATGGGCTCAAATTTCAGTAGAGCGATGATCCATGATTGCTGATATGATTTCTGCGGTCACTGGTGCTCCATGAAAGGATGCACAACAGCATGTACCATGCTCCACTTTTCATTGAAAGATGTGTATCACTTGGGAAAATATATATGTGATGCATATTTGATAATCATCTTCATTTTTGCGAATCTTTCTCAAGTTATGGCCCTTTTCTGACTTATGTCACACCCTCATTGCCTTAAGGGAGTTTTGAGTCTTGAGTACTGTCAGGCCATCTTCTTGTCTCAGTTTATTGTACTTATTGTACTATTGTACTTTTCTCAGTTATTTTGTACTTACATAGTTTTGAGAACTTGCAGTATGTAAAGCATGAACCATGCTCAATTACATAGAAGTATTGTTTTGTGTCATGGAAGTGATGAGTCACTAACATTACAGCAGAAGACAATGCAGTGGTGGCAATTTAACACACGTTCTGGTGGGGGTCAAATTCCCTCCCCCCCCTCCAAAGGTTTTTCCGGAATGGTCTCCGAACAGCGCGGCGTAACCGCGCCAAATTTTGGATAGCTGTAGACAAATGAATGGTGGATCGTTTGGCGTCAGAAATTTAGATGCACTTTGTATGGTCACTGACTTATGGCAGGTCAAAGTCAGGTCATGGTTTCAGTGAAGGCAATTGCTAGGGAATCGTTCCAGTCCAACAACAGAATGTTAGCTGAATCCAGACATCTCTGAGATGCTTTCTTAGGCAACACAACAATGGAATCAATGCATTGCATTGACTTGGGGTCAAATATGAAGGTCAGATCAAGGTAAAAACCAACATGTTTTGTTTCTCTATGGCTTACTGTATGGGGTAGTTTCTGGTGCTCATTTCACATTTATTGATAACAGGAACCACATTATACACCTGCCATGGACTTCCTAAAGGTCAGCATAGGTCACTGACATAAAATGACACAGGTCAACATTTCGTTTTTAGGAATATACTGCCTAGTGCAATCATTGTTTATTCAAATGCAAAGCTCAAAACAGTCTTGTATGATTTTGGTCACCATGACCTTCAAAAGGTCAAGCAAGGTCACTGAAAGACTCAGACTTTGACCAGAGTGAGTTCACATACATTCCAACACACCCTCTGAATTTGGTGTCTCAAGCCCTCTTAGTTTCTGAGATCTCAGGGAGGTCAAATTGACCCCCACCTGAGCAAATGATATCCAACCGGTCACCCAGGCGCGTGTCAACTCTTGCTTGTGATTAGTTGTAGACTGAAATGCTAGTTTTGTTACAGAAATTGTCAGAGGAAAACTGTGGTTTGTCACAGAAGTGCAGTTTATTTCTATTCTGGTTGCGTCGAGTTAAGGCTGGTCCCACACGTGCTGGTAATAACGACCATCATCAAACAGGATCGGAAACTCCAAGAATTTGTGACGTCTTTCATGTGTAGCACAAACTGTCGGCCGTCGCTTCTTTGCTCCGTGTAGATTGTTTGACTACGAGTGATTTTTTAGTGATGGGCAATCGTAGCACAACTTGAGGAGGCAGAATTGAGAAACTATCGCTATTTGGGCATCATTTTCCACCCATATGGTAAACTTCTGGGACAGTGGTTTGTGTGAGCCGTGTATCCGATAAACCATGCATATTATAAGAGCTATTTGACATTTCAGATCCACCATGTCAGATGGTCAGGAGTTCTGCCTGCGCTGGAATAACTTCCACAGCAACTTCCACCTGTCGCTGGACGCTCTACGTGGGGATGAAACGTTCACGGACGTTACCATATCGTGCTCCGGCAAGCTGCTCAGGGCCCATCGGGTCATACTCTCCGCCTGCTCCTCACACTTCAAAGACATCCTCAGGGTAAGCTAAGGGAGGTCAATAGTAGTCCATGCACTGCTCTAGATTCATGTCACGGGTAATATGTGAAGATTGTGCTCTTGTCATGCGCAGAGCGAGGTAATAGCTGAGGCGCATTTTACGCGAGAAGCTGCCATCCCTCCTGTGCTATTGAAAAGCGAACGAGATAATCTTGGTATGGGCTCGACCTTCAGCAGCCCACATTGCACTTGTGAAAGACCTTTTTTTAGTTGTAATTTTTAACACGAAGCCTATGGCATAGATCTGGAGTTTGTACTTTTTTCGCTCACAAAATTCGGTGAGATAGCTTCGGAGATAGATTTTGGGCCGACAAAAAAGTTTTGAAAGCTATGAAACATCCTTGCCTCACAAAAGAATAAAAAGATGTGGGGCCCGAACTTTTTTGAAACAAGCATTTTTTATTTGCATTTGGCATTTTGAACATTCTCGAAACAATCATTGCATTTCTATGTGCCAGTCTGTACATTCACAGGAGACAGTGGAATGGTGATCGACGCTGGCGACGTTATTAGGCTGGCCTGCATCTGCAGACGCGTCGAGTGGTCGTGTGGGCGACGTGACTGACTGTTGTGGCGCGCGCCCGGCAGGCAATACCGCCGCAGCAGCACCCGGTCATCGTGTTGCCCACCGTCGAGTGGGAGGTGATGCAGGCCATCCTCGAGTTCATGTACCAGGGCCAGGTGAACGTGCAGCAGGCGCAGCTGGGCGTCTTCCTGCAGGTGGCCGAGGCCTTCTCCATCCAGGGTCTGGCCGACGAGGAGACCAAGAGGAACGCCGATAAGGTGCGCCCGCTGGCCCGGTGCAAACTTGCCGCCCTATCTCGTTTGGTGGACAAGGCGTAGCGGCCGATGCTGTGTGGCGCAGTGTTTTGCATCTGTTCATTGTCAGTAGGTGGTTAAATCGGTGCTGCTGGTGAGTGTTAGACGTTCTAGCACCTTCTTTTCTTGAACGCGTCTTCCAACGCGCAGAACTTCGAGCAATGAACTCCATCGTCATCACCTCCAGAGCGAAATGGATACTTGTTGTGGCGGGCCATTTAAACGGTGACCCGCGTCCTGTGGCCAGAAGGCGACGCCGTCGCGGCCGCCGCCGGCTGACCCCGGTCCAGCCTGCTCGCCGGCGGCCAAACGGCGCCGTCCCGAGCCGGCCCGCGCCGTGCCCTCCACCATCAACATCGACCTGAACGTGAAGTCGGAGCCGACGGAGATGCTGGACGAGCTGGATGAGCTGCTGGAACCGGACGGCGGCGAGCACCTGGAGCCGGTGCCGGGCCTGGAGCCTCCCGGCGGCGTTGAAGGTACGCGTTGGCACGAGGACCGCCGCCGCTCACCGGGCACGGTGCTGGTCAGCTCTGGCGGGCTGTGACGGAGGTGGCGGGTGGGCGGAGTGTGGCCTGTACTGCGACGCGATGTCTGTGCGGTAGGAGGCGAGAGACCTGCTGGCTGGGGCCGCGTCGTGGTGCTGCTGACGCGGCGGAGGCGGCTATGTCGTACTTAGGAGGCGAGAGACCTGCTGGCTGGGGCCATGTCGGGATGCTGCTGGCGCGGCGGAGGCGGCTATGTCGTACTTAGGAGGCGAGAGACCTGCTGGCTGGGGCCATGTCGTGATGCTGCTGGCGCAGCGGAGGCGGCTATGTCGCACTTAGGAGGCGAGAGACCTGCTGGCTGGGGCCATGTCGTGCTGCTGCTGACGCGGCGGAGGCGGCTATGTCGTACTTAGAGGGCGAGAGACCTGCTGGCTGGGGCCATGTCGTGATGCTGCTGGCGCGGCGGAGGCGGCTATGTCGTACTTAGGAGGCGAGAGACCTGCTGGCTGGGGCCATGTCGTGCTGCTGCTGGCGCGGCGGAGGCGGCTATGTTGTACGTAGCTCACTGCCGGAGGCCCAACCGTTTTGGGAAACTGTTGCGTCAGATTTGACGCTGGGTTTAAGGACTAACCGACTTTCTGTGAGTTTTCTGAGAGAGGGGATTCTTGTCCAGGCGTGACTGTCAGCGTGAGCGCCCCCAGCGTTTTTGGGACGCGTCCGCGTTGTGTGATTCCGCGATCGTGACGTTTCGCCTCGGTTTCAGGTCACTCGATGGTACAAGTGGGGCACGGAGACGGAGGAACACCAGCAAGTAAGTACTGCCGTGTGCAACATAAGTGGTGGTCACACGTGCCAATCAAAGCCACTCTGATCCAGCCCCACCAGGCCCTCGGGAATTCTTGTCCTTTAGAAAGGCGTACGTAGTCACCCACGCACGTCCCTGGCCCGTGTCCTTAGTCCCACCTCGTCTGTCGGAGGCTGGGAGGCTGGCAGTCATTGTGGAAAGGGTTTTTGGCTTCGCATTTTCTGAGCGCTGCCCACTATTGGCCTGGGCTGCCCTGCTCTTTACACCACTGGGCACGAGTTGGAGCCATCTGACCCTGCCCTACCGCAACATCTCGCCGCCCGCCGCTCGAGCCGAGGCACCAGCCGCGCCGCCCGCTCTGCCGCGGTGGGCGCGGTCTGGGTGCCGACAGAGAGACCCCACGGCTGGGTGAGGGGGGCGGGGGCGGGTCCCCGCGGTCCGGTCTCAGGCCGCCGCAGCTGGGATGAAGCCTCCCGAGGTCCCCTCAGCTTCCCGGGAGACGTGGGACGGGAGGGGCGGGTCATGACACGCGTTGCCACTGATGGCGAGCGTGCGGAGGAGGGGTCGTGGTTCTCATTTGACGCCGTGTGGTCTGGATCGCGTGTCGGTGGTGATTCGGGCCAGGACAAACGTACCCCTCGCTGCCATGTAGAGCGGCACCGAGTGTTCTGGCATTCGGGAACGCTCCCGTGTTCCCGTGCGTTATGAAAGGGCGATCAGGCGGAGATCAGGCACCGTCGCCACTCGGCTCGGGGCTGTTCTGACCGCGGGCGGCGCGTTCTCGTCGCGTGCGACCGCAGCCGCGCCCTCGGCTGTGTCGTCCGGCCGCCGCCACCGCCGCCCTCGTGACAGCCGCCCTGCGTTGCAGACAGGGGCGGCGCAACGGCGGCGGCGGCGGCGGCGGCGGTCGGGTCGCCGGGCCGGCTGGCGGCGCCCGCCCGCTCTCTGGTGCGCGAGTACTTCTCGGGCGACGGCCGTGACCGGCTGTGTCGGCTGTGCGGCGCGTCGGTGCGGCTGAACCGGCAGCTGTCCACCTCCGGCCTGTGGCGGCACATGCGCGTCAAACACTGCGAGGCCGTGCTGCCGGCGGCGCTGTCGGCCGGCTGGCCCGGCGAGTGCGCCGCGCCCGCCGCCGACCTGCTCTGGGCGACGCCGGGGGGCGCCGCGCGCGCCGACCTGCTCTGACGCCGGCGCGGCGGCGGCGGCGGCGGCGGCGGTCTGTGGTGACCCCAGGACGCTGATGGCTCGGCCGGTCCGGCCGCCCGGGGCAGCGCGCTGACCAGAGCCGTTCGATTAGGGGTACCGATGATGTAGTGGTTCATCTCAGCTGCGCGTGGGGAAACCGGAAGGACGCGGTTCGGGTTCCCGCGGTGCCGCCCTTCCCGCCGGATTGAAAGGCAGGCGACGCGATGCAGTCGCAGCGGCTGCGCGCGTCGCAAAGCCCTGACGACGGCGACGACGGGGCGTCCGGCCGCGGGCGGCTCTGACGAACGTTGGCGCGAAGGGACGACGCTGGCGGTGTGTGCTGCTGCGTCTCCAGCTGGTGGCTCCGTGTGCGGGGCTGACTGGGGGTGTGGTGGCGACGAAGGCCGCCGGGTCGTGTGCTCAGGCAGTCCGTGACCTCCGCTGGCTGTGCACCCGCGCGCAGTGCGTGCTGTGTGCACTGTCATATGACGTACATTATGACCAAGTACCAAATACTTTTTATGATGCTTTGTCTTCACGGTTATGGAAAACGTGCTGTTTTAGTTGAATATATCCACAATCACATGCTGGCCGTCTTTCTGAGATCAGTGACACTCTTTACATGCTAACTTGCCATGCTGAGTAGTCTATCGTTTCGTATATGAGACAGAAATACCAGTTCATGCGATCGAAAGTGAGTGCGGTATGCCCACCGCAGCACCCGGAGCGCGCAGGAGCGGTCCGCGGGCCCCGTCCAAAGCCTGGCTGGTGACGGAGGCGCGGCCTCCAAGCGGTCCACCGCGGCGCCGTGCCGAGCGCTGCTCTGGGACGCGGCTTCGCGGTGGTCTTTCCGAGGTTACGGCCGCCGGAACGGTTGACGGCGTTCACAGCGCCTTTGACGCCGCGTGCGGCGGCACGCTCAGTGGCGGTCGGAATCTGGCAAGCGGAGAAGTCAGCTGCCCTGGCTTTCCTCTAGGACGGTGTTAGGCAAAGCATGGATGATGCTTCCGAGTGTTTCTGACTGACCGACAACTGCACTCTGCGTTGGTAGGGCGGTGGTGCCCCCCCCCCCCCCCCCCCCGTCCGTCCCCTGTCATCGTAGCATTTTGCATTTCCCGGTACGATCCACCCGTATGGAAAAGCCTGACCTCAGTCGCCATGCCACTGGGTATGATCATTGGGATGATAGCGTGCTTCCCTGGCGACCCGTGGCTATGAAGATGGCATGGGGACGGCAGATCTCTTGTTTTCTGCGTTAGCTCTCGATTACAAAAGAGCATTGAAATACGCTTGTGGAGAAGTTGTGTTATGGGTCGTCGCGTGCGAGTGCTGCCAATGGCGACCAAGTGAGGCGACTGTCTGATCGCTTGCGTGGATTCGCTATATTTTACCTCAAGTCGTGATATCCCATTGTCCAGCCACCGGGTCGGAGCTATTGATGCCAGTTGATGCTAACTGGTAACCACTCGGGTCACTCATTCATTTAAGAAAACGCTTGACACCTGTCCAGAGGCCAGATTATGTCACAGTCACAGGTAATGCAATATACCTCTCATTCAGTCAAAAGTGGATGACGCTTTCGGAATATGTTACAACTGTAATAGCAGCCATGTAGCTTTGGAACCAGTGCGATACAGCAGTTTTGATCCGCGAGCACAACCCTGAAGGAAATCTCACGGGTCTGGGGCCGAGCTAGTGATGTTCTAAGCCCCAAACGGTGACGGGTAAAACGCCGGCTTGGTTTTCACCACAAGCAACATGTCCTGGTCTCGCCTGCGCAAGATGACGGCGCCGATGGCGCGTACTTTGTCGACGGCGCCAGCGTCCTGGTCCAGGTTGGCACGGATCGCAGCTGCGTGTCGACCGAGCAGTAAGCGTCGGAGCGTTCGGCGTGCGGTGGCTGCTACAGTCGGTCACCTGGGTCACTGTAGTCTGGCAGAGGTGAACTGGCGGCCCGGACCAGTCTGGCAGTGACCAGTCACCAGTCTGATCAGCTAGTGATCCAGGTCAGTGTCAAAGTCGAGGCTGCCTTGGGTGGAACCATGGTCGCCGGTCAGTCCATCAGAGGCGAGCCGTCAGTCCCCGCCCAGTCTGGCGGAAAAGGGAATGTGACCACGGCCAGCGCGCCAGAGGTGTCACTCTGCCAGCGGTGGAACTGCGCCCCGGTCTGTCGGGAGCGGTCGTCAAAAGTTGGACATCGACACCGCTGCGCCGGCTGCGGCTTGTTCCATCTCCCGCGCGTGGTAACGGCTCAGCGCGTCGCTGGGCGCCGGGTTCGCGATGGTCTGCGGTTTGTGCGCTAATTTGCGGTGGTCTGCGGTTTGTGCGCTGGTTTGCGGTGGTCCGCGGTTTGTGCGCTGGTTTTCGGTGGTCTGCGGTTTGTGCGCTTTTTTGCGGTGGTCCGCGGTTTGTGCGCTGGTTTTCGGTGGTCTGCGGTTTGTGCGCTGGTTTGCGGTGGTCCGCGGTTTGTGCGCTGGTTTGCGGTGGTCTGCGGTTTTTGCGCTGGTTGAGATTACTGAGGACGTGGTTATCAGTGCGCTAATCGCTGCCTGCGATTGCAGAGACTATGACGAGCACCAGCTGGTCTGTTGACCCGGAACGTCGGCTTGGACCTTCTACTTGCCATTGGCTAGCCTTCTTTCTGGGATCGCTGAGTCGGTGGCTATCAATGGTTCGTCCACGGCCTCTGACCGTTTGGCTCATCTTGGTCTATGACGGTTTGGTCCGCGGAGTCTGCAGCGGTGGTCCTTTTGGCACATCACGCCGATGGTTGGTCTCTTTAGAGGGCTGGTCTCTCGATCGGAGTCCATGAGCGCTGGCACGTCCACTGCCCCGGGTTGCTGTGTCCGTGATGGTCGCTGGTTGGTCCGCTGAATCGACGGCGCCTGCTGGTCGTACGCTGCCTCGCGCCGTCAGATCTCTGTAGCCCGCCGCCCTCTGACGCGGATGTCTCCCTTGACTTGCCGCTGGTCTGGGCGCCGGGTGCCGGTTCTGCCGTTGGGCTTCTCCTGCGTCGCCGACGGGCGGCCGAGTCCGCGCCGGCTGTCGCCGCGGCGGCGGCGCGCCGTCTCCCGCGCCGGGTCGACTGCCGTGACGTGCGCGACCCGTCTGTTGCAGGCGCGGCGCGGCGCGGCCGGTCCAGACTGCCGCCCGTCTGGCACTACTACAACAAGCTGTCGGAGTGGTCCGCCTCCTGCCGCTTCTGTCAGCGCGTCATCCGCGGCGCGCCCAGCTCCAGCGGCAACTTCTGGGTCCACCTGAGGCGGCGGCACACGGCCGAGCTGCTGCTGCTGGGCGGCGAGCACTCGGCGCTGGCCGTCCGCTGGAGGGACGCGGCCGCGCGCCAGCCCGGCCCCGCTGCCCCACGCCCGCAGGAACTGGCCGAGGACCTGCAGCAGCACCCGCTGCCGGTGCAGCGCTGAGGCGGCGCCGGCTGGGGAGTGTCGGAGTGTCGGAGTGCCCGGCGGGACTCTGGGCTGGTCACGGGGCCGCTCGCCGAGCCGGTGTGGACTCGGCGCCGGCCGGAGGAGCGGAGGTCCGCCTGTGCCGCGCGCCCGACGGTGCTCACTGCGCCGCTGCTGCCGCCTGGTCCCGGGGCCGCTCGCCGAGCCGGTGTGGACTCGACGCCGGCCGGAGGAGCGGAGGTCCGCCTGTGCCGCGCGCCCGACGGTGCTCATTGCGCCGCTGCTGCCGCCCAGCGACGGCCGAATGAAACTGGGCGGACGCTTTGACGTGTTCGCACTGCCAGCGGTGACGTGGCTTGACGCAGCAGCATTCCTCCCGCCTTGTTGCGTAGGCCTGCCGCATAACACGGCAGGCCT